AATGGCGAAGACGATGGTGACTTTGTCAACAGAAATCGAGCCGCTCGCCATAGATATGCGGGAGTCGTTCCAGCGAGTGCGACGGATGAGAATCCTCTCAATTGGACGATAGCGACAGTGCAAAAGCGAATAAAACAGGATCTTGGCATTTCCAAAAGCCTGGGAATTGTAAACTGCCGCACCTCATTCGTTTCTATATGGAGAACATGGAAGCTAAACAGGCGACCTCCCCAGGGACAAGGGAAGTGGATAATTCAGTTGTCGATTACCGAAGGGACACTAGTGGACCCGCTTCAGCAGTCAACTCCCTTATCAACACCGGAGGACAGTCATTCGTTTCAAACATAGCTGCCCTGATGCCAGAATCCGAACCTGACAGGGACCTCAATTCACTGGCACAGACTGTTCGAAAACTGCAGGATTCTGTTAACCTCATCACGAACTCCCTCCTACCCATGCACAATCAGCCAAGTTCAAGCAATAGCATACCACTTGGACAATCTGCTACACCCCCCAGTACACTCCAACAGTTACAGGCCAACGTACCGCAGCCATCTACAACATGTACAACAGGAAGAGGAAGTCGACCAGCCACTGGCAATTTCACGTTACATACAGCTTTGCCAGCATCGGAACATGTTTCCCAATACCAAGGTAACTCACCTAATACCATTTCATATTCGTCTTTGATGGATGTCGAGGTTGTGTCAGCTTCCCTTCGGAAACAAATAATTGAAGGGAAAGATGTGAATCTGGCATGTCTATTGATGCCAGACGACATTTCTTCGCATCCGAGAGTGATTGAGGTGGGCGACCATGAACTCCACCTAAAGTCCCCTACTGACAACAGACTACAAAACGCCTTGACCATTCAAGAGTTTATTGTAGCATTCACCCGGTATAGGAACATAATGGTGCAGGTGTGGCCAGGCCGAAAAGACTCTTTGGACTGATCTTCAGGCTGATTCAATGGGTAGAACCAACAGATTCCACAACAGACGCGCACTATGCAACAACTTCAATGAGGGCAAGTGCATCTATCCATCATGCAGGTATGTACACGTATGTGCACACTGCAGGAAGCCACATCCGGGTCATAAGTGCGAGGAGGTCTTGGGACAAGCCGTCCCAGTCTTCTGCCAGGAAAAGCAAGAAACAGTGACTGTATCCGGCTACTTCACCGATAAACGTGCCTACCTTGCAACAACTACTCCGACAACATCCAGATCAACAGTTTGTTAACCAACTGATATCAGGCCTCGAATCAGGTTTCCACACAGGTATGCAGTATTGTCAGTCAAATTCTATTAAATGCAAGAATCTGCGCTCAGCTCTACACAACACTGAAATCACGACTAATCTCATCCTCAGTGAAGTGCAGAAAGGCTATGTCATAGGACCTTTCAACACCCCACCCTTTCCAAGCTACAGAATCAACACAATTGGTGTCGTCCAAGGGAAATACTCAAAGAAAAACAGACTAATAGTTGACTTATCAGCCCCGCACAATGATCAAGACAATCCCAGTTTGAACTCTCTCATTGACAAGGAGGACTATTCATTATCATATGTGTGCGTGGACGATGCTATCAACATCATCAAAGCCCTTGGCCAGGGCACTTACATGTGTAAAACGGATATTACTGATGCATTCAAGTTAATCCCTATACATCCAAATTTGTGGCATCCCCATGGCGTTTATTGTCAGGACAAGTACTACTTTTACACCAGATTAGTTTTTGGCTCTCGATCTAGCCCCAAGATATTCGACCTCCTATCACAGGCTGTTTGCTGGGTAGCAACCTATCACTATGGCATTCAAAACATTCTACATCTCCTGGATGATTTTATATGCTTCGAGAACTGCCTACACAAAGGTGTAAAGACTATGGCAGCTTTGATGCAACTCTTCAAAGACGTCAACATTCCACTGTCGGCAAAGAAAACCGTAGGCCCTTCCCAGTGCGTGGATTATCTAGGCATTACCCTGGACACTATCAGAATGGAATCCCATCTTCCCTACGAGAAGGTTGATAGACCGATTCAAGTCATGGATTCCATTGAAGGGAAGAAAAAAGTGTGCAAGAGACAACTCCTAGTACTCCTTGGACACATGAACTATGCCATGCGAGTTATTCACCCGGGCAGGTCCTTCATGAGTTACCTGTTGCGAAAAGCACATTCAGTCAAAGAACTACATCATATGGTCTCTCTTAACAAGCAGTGTTCACAGGACCTAAAAATGTGGAGATTCTTTCTCCAACATGGAATGGAATCACAATGTTTATGGACCATCTTATCAGTGCCCCCAGACTTTAGCCTATTCATGGATGCCTCCAGTTCTGTAGGTTATGGATGTTATTTTCAAGGCCGATGGTTCGCTGCAGCTTGGTCAGAGGAATTATCTACATTGTTACTAAAGGACAATTCCATGGCACTGCTTGAACTATTTCCTATCATCAATGCAGCAGTGCTCTGGGGTCACCTGTAGGGAAAGAAATCCATCAGATTTTATTGTGACAATACAGCAACTGTTGAAATCATTAATAGGGGCAGATCCAAATGTGTCACCATTATGCAATTTATGCGTACTCACCTTCGTAGCTATCAATTATAACTTTCTGTTCTCTGCCCTTCATGTACCTGGTGTCGATAACACAATAGCTGACGCCTTGTCTCGGTTGCAGATGGAGAGATTCAGGGATCTAGCCCCTTTCCCCGACAAGACCCACACTCAGTGCCCTCCTTTGTCGCAGCTACTGTACCCCTAAACAGGAATCTGGACGAACTATGGAACAGCGCACTAGCTTCATCGACCCACACCGTTAATCAGGCTGGATGCAACGTATTCCTGGGGTTCTTGATGACATGCGGCATAGTGTGTTCGTTCGCGAATCTACCCAACCTCACAGAAGATGTCCTACTGTATTTTGTGACCTACTGCCATTACACCCTGAAGCTGCGTTATGCCACCATCAAGACGTATTTGTGTGGTATTAGGTTCATGTACCTCAAGTACGATATGACCAACCCCTGGATCAATGGCTCAACAACTCGCCTCGAGACAATCATCAAGGCTATCAAAAAGCTGCAGGGCAGTTCCTCCAGGACCAGACTGCCAATCTCAATTACAGTACTTTCAGATATGTGCATCAAGCTAAACCAAGGTGTGTTTAACCCATATATTGATCTACTCATGAAGACGGCCTGTTGTATGGCTTTCTTCGCTTTCTTGAGATGTGGCGAATTCACCTGTGACGCTTATAACCCAACAATACACTTGTCTATCAACTCCGTTTCATTTAACAACGAGCTTTCTACAGCGTTTGTGTGTCTTAAGGCTTCGAAGACGGATCCATTCCGGAAAGGCGTCATCATCACCTTACACAGGCTGTACGAGACCCTGTTTTGCTGCCCAGTTAGGACCCTCTTGCAATACTTTGTTCTTCGCACCCAGAGGACGTCAAATCCTTTAGATCCTCTGTTCCTCATGCCTAATGGTGTAGCCATGGACAGGAAGTTTTTCATTGACCATCTAAAACTTGAGTTGCAAAGGACCGGGTATGACCACACAAATTACAATGGACATTCATTTAGAATTGGTGCAGCAACCACTGCAGCAACGGCAGGCATTCCAGATAATATGATCAAAACCTTGGGACGTTGGTCGTCGGACTGCTACAACTTCTACATATGCACAGAACAACGAAGCATCCATCAAGCCCAGCTGGCCATGGCCCGGTTGTAACCTCACATGGTAATTAGTTTCCTGATGCATTGTGTGCCAGAGACATGTGTTATGTTATTGAACAGTGACTGCAGAGACTTTCATGGATATGTTTACACACCTTTTCCAGTGTTGGCAAGTCCTGTACTGGTCACGATATGGTGTGCAGTCCGTACACCCCCTATGTGCCACATTTCACTTACAGTCAACCATGTTTATATGTTAATACCCCTTTTGTTTGCTATATCTGTCACATCATTTTGGGGATTCTCAGTTATTTCATAACTGTGTTTTGGGCATGTATCACCCCCAAATTATCTTCAACAATTCACAGTTGCTTTGGTAGGGCATACACCTTCAGTCGGCTACACCCGTCGGGGTATTGTCTGTTGGCTTCACGGTTATATGTGGCTAGTTTATACCCGTCGGGGTATCGTTGGCCAGCTACACTGACATCTGTAGCAAGTTATACCCGTTGGGGTATCGGTTGTCTGGCGTCAGACTACAGCCGACTGAAGGCGTATCTCAATTCTGTCACTTAGCACACCCTTAGTTAGCTTACCCATCGGGGTAAAGCAGTAGCTTTCTATTTTGTCAATAAACCGTGTGCTACCGGCTCTACGAGAATCCACAATCAACCCAAATACAATAAATATTTTATTTAATCATTTGTCTTATGTTGTCTTGTCCGAATCCGAGGAAATAAATATTTGTTTATCCCATCTGGATCTGTGTCATCAACCCCTACAATTACGCTTTTATGCTCAGTTTCAGCAAGTGTAGATGTTTTAAGGATAGATATGCTCCCTCTACAATTATGGTACCTTTGTTTTTGGCATTTCCTACGACTTCTACAACTATGATATCTTAAGAGCCAACAAGGCTCTCTCTGGAGACATCCCCTGCAAATGACATTCCGAAAGAGGAGAGAAAAGAGATGTATAAGTTGTTCAGTTGAATGCCAAGGAGATAATGCATAATATCGCACAAACTGAAGCGGGGGATAAAAGATCTTTTGCAGCCATTATTAAATTGTTGATGACGATAAGAACACAGCAACATTTTCTGATGACCTTCGACTGCACACAGGTTCCATAGGTTCAACACTGATAGGAGTGCACACTTCCCGTCAGTTGTATAAACTTTCAGTGTTCACTGTTTTTGCACATACGAATATGACCGCGATTGTAATGAGATAACTTTCAACTAAAATAAAAGTTACTCCAGAATAACATTGAATATTAAAATTATATGTTGGTTTATGTTTTTACAGATATGTCAGCAGAAGTTGCAAAGTTTGGAGGAACAGTATAACTGTCTCCAGAGCAAGTCAAGAGACTTGGAAACTCATATGAACAAGCTGAGGGAAGTCAAGGTAAGTTCCGAATCCGAATCAGGTGGCAAAAATTAAATTATGTTGCTTACTTCCCCAGATTTGGGATTAGATTTTGACCTTGATTTGACCTTTGCACATCAACCATAATGTAAGCTGCAACTTGTTGTGTCTGTTAATCAGCCATTTCTGTTCAAAAGTGAGTGAGTTAAAATTTAACATTGCCTCAGCATTATTTCAGCCATATAGCGACTTCTGTTCAAGATGTAATGAGGGGTAGTCTGATGGTTAAAGCATTTGCTCATCATGCTGAAGACCCCTGTTCAGTCTCTATATGGGTACAATGTGTGAAGACCATTTCTGTTGTCCCCTGCCATGATATTGCTTGAATATTGCTAAAAATGGCTTAAAACCATACTCACTCACTCTCACTGAAAATGTAATGAAATTTGGTTCATGTGTAATTTGTGATGGGACTCAACACATATGTTGCTTATTTCTCTCACTATTAATTATTGTTGAGTTTACTTTGAGACAGGGGGCGACCGGGTAGCCTAGTGGTTAAAGCGTTCGCTCGTCACGCCGAAGACCCGGGTTCCGTTTCTGTCATGGGTAAAATGTGTGAAGCTCATTTCTGGTGTCCCCTGCCGTGATATTGCTGGAATATTGCTAAAAGCAGCTTAAACCTCACTCACTCACTCACTCACTGTGTGTCACATGTTCAGGGGTTTCTTCATTCCTGGAAGTAAATCTAGGGGTTTGACAAACATAAAACACCTGCTAACCTGAGAAACAACTGTTTTTCTTGTTTCTTATTCCTAATTGTATTTCATGCTTCAAGGGTGAGTAAATCTGAACATATTACAGTGACATTGCTAAATGTATATCCATCATATGTGAAGCCCTTATTTGCAAGAATCAAGGAAAAAAGAGAGAAAAGTTTTGTCTTCCTGTTTGTTTGTTGTTTCATGCCGTACTCAGCAATATTTCAGCTATGTGATGGCGGTCTGTAGGGATGTCACGATTCACTGATTGTACCGATGCATCGGTAGATAATTCTCACGATACGATACGAGATGCATGTAAATTTATATCGATACAAAATTTTATTGAAATTGGTATCCATTTGTTCATGCATCGATCGATTTTTCTATTCTATTTCTGACACTTGTTTGAATAAACAAAATCAACCTTTTCTATATATTATTTTTTTACAAAATAATCTACTGATGGGGGTTAGAACACATAATCTAATCTGAACCAGACAATCCAGTGATTCATATCGTGGACATGGATCTACGCAGTTTGAATACAATGATATGCATCAACCAAGTCAGCGAGCCTGACCACCTCCTGATCCTGTTGCCCCTTATAAAGAGCATAATCGCCTTTTACGGCATGAATGGTTTGCTGAAGACCTATTCTACCCCGGAGCTTCACGGGTAGAAAGTAAATTGCACACAGTATTTTTGAATTCAGAAATTGACCACTATTGTTTTTTCTTTTGTGTGCTGCTGCCATGCTGGCAGACACTGTACAGTCTCTGGCACTGTCCGTCACAAAGTTGCTTTTTGTGTGACCTCCAGAACTTTTGAAAGGATTTGTTGCAAAATTTGGTGTCAAGGTGGCTAAGTCATGTTTTGCTGACCACAGTTGATAATTGTGACATAGTAACCATTTTCCCAATTTGTTGTTTGTTAATGATATATCTCAAGAACCTTGCATGGATATTAAATTCAAATTTAGTGCTATAAGGTCCATGCTGCTTCCATGGTCCAGTCGTTAGAGCGTCTGCCTGGAGAACAGGAGGTTGATGGTTCGATGCCCTGACGAGTCGTACCAAAAGACGTAATAAGATGGTACTGTTATTACCCTGCCTGGTGCCTGGGTTAAATTAAGGACTGGTCAGTTTGGGGGTCAGTGTACTGTGTCTGAGTGGGGTATCCTTGTTACACTGCGACATGGTATCTCAGTGGGCTAGCTCTAAAAAAAGGTCATCAATCCACGCACTCACACAAACATATCGTACAAAAGCTTAGTACTGCCTGTCTAAAATCAAAATTTTTGCATCGCAACTGGCTAAATTTCAGCCCAATTTCACAATTTGGGAATGCTCCAGTCCCATGCAATGTCACACACTGTCTTAGACAAGGTGATCTCTCCATCCAGTGGGAAATGTGGTTGGAGCTGTCTGCAACACAACTTGAAGATGCACCACATGCACTGTTTATGTTTATCTTGAAACCTGTTCTTGCCAGTAGTTTCATACAAACTACTGGTCAGTTGGCCAGGGGTGAAAAACAAGATTTTCGTTCCCACATTTTCCTGTATACCTTAAACCTTTTCTATTGCATAAAGGAGGTATCTGTACACAATTTTCATTGGGTAGTAAGCTTGCAAGTTTGTGCAGGAATTTTCAGGGGATCAAAATTTCATAAATTGAAGGAAAAATGCATAATTTGACAAAATTGGCTGTAACATTTTTATTAAGTCATTAAACTATCCAAATTATGTCTTTGATTACAGGTAATGTGTTCGGTTATCTGAATTTGGCAAACATTTTGTTTCATTTAACTGTAATTCTAATTCTCAGTGGAAACATTGGTAAAAATCATGTTTTTTTACTTCATTTTCAAATCTTGTGAGTAGGTAAAACACTAATTCCATTGAATTGTGACAATAAAACCATTATAACTGGGTATTAAAATCTGCCTGAACCATTGTACTATCCTATACAAAAAACAAAATGAAAATATATTACATAGGGGCTGAGATATTGTCTACAATGTTACCCCATCCCCCAAAAACCAATTTTGACAAAAATTGCTTATTGAGATATGGTGGTAGATGATGTTGCTGTAGTGGATGGGTGGGATAATTGCAACAATGCTTAAAAACACCAAAATAGTAAACTCATGAAGAAAAATGATGATTCAAGTTTTTCTGTGAGCATTTATGGTGGCCATCTTGAATTTCAAGATCTAATATAGTTCTTCAACATGGTCATGTAATATATCATATGAAAGCTTTTTACATCTTCTTTTTAATGATGTAATTATTCACTGACTTCTGGGGTAATCTTATCCCCCAATAATAGAACAAATGATATATTGAAAGCTAATTTCTCTAGCAACACCAACCAACCACCAAAGTCGTATTTTAATCTAATGGACATCGTTTCACTCAAAATTGTAGATATACTGCACTTTTGTCTGAGCATTTAACTAGTTTATCGTTTGAGTGAGAAAAAAACATGAGAATACTTGTAGTATTATGAAGTATTAAAAATAAAATGTGAAATAATGTCACCTCTAGTCACCGTCAGAGTCCATGTCATCTGGAGAGGTAGGTAAGTTGTTTCTGTTTAGGCATAACATAGCACAACTGCATCCAAGGGAACATCCCATGATGTTCTTGGCGCAGTACACCTGGATGAGGAGCATCTGCCTGTTGTGCATTTTACAGGTGAGCAATTCTAGACACAGTGCTGGCATTCGTTTCTGGGTCATTGGGATGGGTTCTATGCCATCCTCAGTAGACGACCACCTATACTCTTCTGGTGGTGGAATGTCAGCCTTTCCTTTGTGTGCAGAACACCAAGTGATGCACTGGTGCTGACATCTGAGTAGAGGTTGTGTGGTGGGAGTTCCTCTAGGTCTCCAACTCTGTGGAACATGTCAGCTGTAAGTGTATTAATGCTAGTTGCTGTCGATGCTGGATTGTACACTTTGATGACAAGTGAGTCTGTCTCTTTCATGTCGAAGGCACCAGTTTCTTCTGTTGGTTGCAACAAATCTGGTTGTGCGATAAATATGTTCCAGGTCCACAACCTGTGACTGCATGGAATGATGGTAGAGCTGCTACAACTTCTGGGAGAATGAGAGATTGATGTACATCATCAACTGATATATACCCATCCATATCTGAGCAGAAAACCGATGTTTATGATGTATCAATGGTACTAACACATCAGTGTCTCGGCTGTGAATGACACTGTGGTTGTATCTATTGCAGGATGCATCCATGACATTGATCATCTGCCTCTTTATGTGTTGACCTTAGATTTGGCATTGCTTCAGATTGATCTATGGAAGATACTGCTGTATCTGGGCTGCTTAATCCACCAGCAATGATGATGATTTGATGATTATGATGGAGATGCTGTGCCTGTGCGTGCAATTCTGTGTTCAAGAATTGTATCAAATTTTGCTTTTTCGTTTCAATAAAACTGGACAATGAAGCCAGCAGAAGGATGTCTCATTTATCTATTATTCTTCGAATTTTCTTTGATCGATCACCTCTTTTTGTCCAAGTTGCAGATTTTACAGACTTTGCATCATTTTGGTCAAAGACATCATCGACTTAAGTACAAGTTTCACTGAAGTTCTTCAGCACATTCCAATTGAAAACATCAGCCAAATCTCCAAAGGTCCTAGCTTTGCTTGGTTTGCCTATAGCCTGTACAAAAGCCATGCCACCAATAACAATGCATGTTGTGTCATCAGTTGATGGTAGCATGAGAATTTGCAAGCAAATGTGATAATGCAGCTTTGTTGTACAAAGTAGGCCATCTGTTTGTTGCCAGGGAAAGTGGGGTCTGGGACAGCTCATGTTAGAAGATGTGGTACGTTTACTTCTCTCCCACTGTGGGTGGCACTCATCAACCGTCTGAAAAGTTTTCTTCCTTGCTTAAAGGTATTGGTTTGAGTTGACTTCTTTGATACCTGCATGGTGTACAGTGTGGAACATGTACTGTTGGACATATTTTCTGATATTTTGTCATGAATACTCTTAGCATTATCCGCCAAACGATTGTCAATGAACTCTGACAAAAGCTTGTCACCTCGATTCATACCATGATGATGTAATATCTTCCTTAGATCAATCTGCAGCAATACCAAATCTACTTTAAACACATGAAGAGGCAGATGCACGAATGATGCCTCCTGCAATGTATACGACCACATTGTCATTCACAACCGAGACACTGATGTGTTAGTACCGTTGATACATCATAAACATCGGTTTTCTGCTCAGATATGGATGGGTGCAGGTACTGCAAAGGACCCTCTATTCATACATGTTGATGATGTACATCAATCTCTCACTCCAGATGTTGTAGCAACTCTACCAGCATTCCATGCGGTCATGGTTGTGACACAACAAGCCAGTTCAGCAGCTATGGCAAGAAGTTGACCTGGAACATATTTATGGCACAACCAGATTTGTTGCAACCAACAGAAGAAACTGGTGCCTTCGACATGAAAGAGACAGACTCACTTGTCATCAAAGTGTACAATCCAGCATCGACAGCAACTAGCATTAATACACTTACAGCTGACATGTTCCACAGAGTTGGAGACCTAGAGGAACTCCCACCACACAACCTCTACTCAGATGTCAGCACCAGTGCATCACTTGGTGTTCTGCACACAAAGGAAAGGCTGACATTACACCACCAGAAGAGTATAGGTGGTCGTCTACTGAGGATGGCATAGAACCCATCCCAATGACCCAGAAACGAATGCCAGCACTGTGTCTAGAATTGCTCACCTGTAAATGCACAACAGGCAGATGCTCCTCATCCAGGTGTAGCTGCGCCCAGAACATCATGGGATATTCCCTTGGATGCAGTTGTGCTATGTTATGCCTAATCAGGAACAACTTACCTACCTTTCCAGAAGAGGTGGACTCTGACGGTGACTAGAGGTGACATTATTTCACAGCCCTTGACTCTGTGATGTAATTTTTAATACTTCATAATACTACAAGTATTCTCATGTTTTTTTCTCACTCAAACGATAAACTAGTGAAATGCTCAGACAAAAGTGCAGTATACCTACAATTTTGAGTGAAACGATGTCCATTAGATTAAAATACGACTTTGGTGGTTGGTTGGTGTTGCTAGAGAAAAAAGCTTTCGATATATCATTTGTTCTATTATTGGGGGATAAGATTACCACAGAAATCAGTGAATAATGTACATAATTGAAAAGACAATGTAAAAAGCTTTCATATGATATATATCATGGCCATGTTGAAGAACTATATTAGATCTTGATTTTGAAAACAGGTCAAAATGGCGGCCATCTTGAAATTCAAGATGGCCACCATAAATGCGCACAGAAAAACTTGAATCATCATTTTTCTTCATGAGTTTACTATTTTGGTGTTTTTAAGCATTGTTGCAATTATCCCACCCATCCACTACAGCGACATCATCTACCACCATATCTCAATAAGCAATTTTGTCAAAATTGGTTTTTGGAGGGTGGGGTAATATTGTAGACAATATCTCAGCCCCTATGTAATATATTTTCATTTTGTTTTTTGTATAGGATAGTACAATGGTTCAGGCAGATTTTAATACCCAGTTATAATGGTTTTATTGTCACAATTCAATGGAATTAGTGTTTTACCTACTCACAAGATTTGAAAATGAAGTAAAAAAACATGATTTTTACCAATGTTTCCACTGAGAATTAGAATTACAGTTAAATGAAACAAAATGTTTGCCAAATTCAGATAACCGAACACATTACCTGTAATCAAAGACATAATTTGGATAGTTTAATGACTTAATAAAAATGTTACAGCCAATTTTGTCAAATTATGCATTGCAATTTAATGTCTACATGACATGGATAGAAAATGAAACATCAATGTCACATTCATTTATTTAATAATCTATATTGATTGTGGCGGATGAAGAAATATTTGTTTTTAGAATAATGCAGCACTGGTGGCAGTGGTGATAAGGTCCCAAGCATCTGGCTTCACTGTTTGATGAAAGACATTATCATCCTACTTTGTGTTGCAGAAAGATGTAAATAAGAGAAAAGACCAAAAGAAGCGCCTGCAGTATCAGATTACTGCGAAGAAAGAAAGGTAATGAGCACAACCATGCCATCTCTCAGCTTCCACTTCCCAGTGAAGGACAGAGGTCAACCAATCAATGTCACGGGTTGTTTTGAGAACCTTTTCAGGCTATGCCTATGTCCTCATAATATTCTCAACTCTTTCTTCTTGTGCAATCAGCTTAATGGTAACTGAGGTGACCATATACCTTCTTGTCTGATGACAATCTGTCCTTAAGGAATCTGTGAGCTTTTGTAGTGGTGAGTTAAATTTAACCTTCCACAACTTCTTGATGAATTCAATTGAAAGTGGATTTCTCGGTTCAATCACCAATAACTGAACTGTAACCGTTCGATGTTTATATCATGATATAACATTTATACTAAGTTTTCCTATTATACTTAATCAAGTGCTTTTATGAGTTATCATGGTGTAATATTTATACATCATTTCATATAATTATAGTTTAGCAAGTAATACTTATCATCAGGTAAAATGCATATATAAAATATCAGTAGTTTCAGTTATAGCTTTTTAGATAGAGGTGAGGTGAAATTGGGTTTTACGTCGCGTCCAAGATTTTTGCACTTATATAGTGACGTTTTTTAGCCTAAGGTAACGAGAACACATTTCCTAGACATACTATTCAATAAGACAAAAGTTATGTCTGCACAGTTCAATAGATTTAAAGCTTTTAGATAAATACTAGCCTAAGGTATCAAGATCCCATCTCCCAGACATAATATCCAATAAGACTAAAGACATGCCTACATAGTCTTATAGATTGCCTTGAACTATTTTATTTAAGTAAATCTGTCATCACCTATATTAGAATAACATTCAGCAATTACTTCAATTTAGACTCATTAAGGATTAGCCCCTGTACAAGCTCGTCTATAGTGACACCATAATCTCTTTCAAAGCACCCAGTGAATATGTCAACAAGATTAGTGCCAGTCCAACAGGATTAACGGGATTAAGTATTCCCCTCTGTCTAACCATTCACTAACCATAAGGCAAACCCCATCATGTATCAACCAATCATATTCTTTTTTATTGTTCTAAGTTTTGTTAAATACATACAGAAGCAAAATGTTAAGCAGAAGGGGTTTGATGCTCTAACCAAGCAGACCTCTCTCCCACAGCCCAGAGGGTTGTACCGACTCTCTGTGGCACCCTCAGCTATATTCTAAGATATTGTAAATTGTTCATTGTTAATTGTTCTTGTAAATAAAATTGTGATTAGTCTCCTGTGACTCCGGCTGTTTGCGGACTAATTCCCCAAGAAAACCAGCACGCCATTTGGAAGGTTTTGTTTATCTGAACAAAACCATAATAATACCATGGTATTTATCACAACATTGGCTGTTGTGTATAATGTTGCAGGTACTTAGACTTTCTTGTTCCACTGGAGACCTACCATGAAATGTCATTTATAAAGATTGACAATAAGGCTAAGACTACAATTTGTTCTCAGGCAATGGATTCTGGAAGAATAGTGCACCAAGGATCTTCATGCTTGGTTTATGTGCTGGATAGCCATTTGTAATGTCCTTGAAATGCTCACTTAAATTGAAGGTCAAATTCACTCTCAAGGTCATAGGCTCAATAATGCTTTTTCTTCTGCTGCTATGCCATGCTTGTTGTATATTAGGGATGGTAGGGTAGCCTAGTGTTTCAGTTTGTGCTCATCTTACTTATGTTCAGAGTCAATTCCTCAAATGGAAACAATATGTAAAGCCCATTTCCAGCGTCACCACCTTAATATTGATGAAATGTTGCTATTCCATTGCTACTCCCTACTCACACACTCTTATTAATTTTTTAAGTTATTCTGCAGTACTCCTTAAAGCATTAACTGCTTACCTTTTGACAGTAGTGAAGCTGTGATTGATCCTGCTGAAGAAAGAAACAGTGCTGTTTCTGTTCAGAAGCAGGACACACCATGTCATACCAGAAATGGAAGACGAAAGATGTCTCCATATCACTGTTCCATTCCGCCATCATGAGAATTGCTCACGTCTTGCGGTCCTTTCACAAATATTGTTTTGTATTTCAAGACTGATTAGGTATTAGCATTGTGTATATATATTTTTAGCACTTAATCCACAGTTATAGTGGTGTTTAAACTGCGCTATTCTTTGCACTTCGTCACACAAGTGTAATGTTTGTGCTCCACTTTCACTCGTAAGTTTCTCCAGGTATAAAAATGTTTCGGCAAAGTGTTTGGCTCCCTGGCAGTCGTTTCACATTTATAGAAACGGAAATCAGGCGGTCACTAAAACCCTTGTCGGCATTAGCTGTGTCATGTCGTGCTATGGACCAAGATCTTTCCGAGACCAATGCCAAGAGGATCGATCATTTCCACACAGTGGTAGAATTCCAACAGAGGCAAATCTTCCAGATGCGTAATCACCTTAAGGAGGCTTTAGCTGAGATTAACGCCATCCGCCCTCAGGGGTATCTGGCTATGTATCCAACTGGGATTTGGAATTTAAGCACTGGCTGCTTTGTCAGCCATGGTCGGCATCAACTATATTCAACAGCCAAATAACTTACACGCGTACCACAGAATCGAGCTATGCTCGAGACGAGACAGCACTCAAAGCTCTGGAACATACCAGAATCTTGGCCAACATGCGTTGAAATCAGGGAATTATTGACCTAGGTGCTCATCCCTCAAGGACCAGGCCACCGATCAGTCCTCCTTTTATGGAAAAGGATGAGGCAGGGGCAGAGACCAGGGCTTATCATTCCCGTAGGGGTAGTTCCCAGGGTAGGAGAGGGGACCGGAGGGGGAAACGTTGATCCAGTGGATAATTACGACTGGGATCTCCCACCTCCAGGCGTCCCAATGGGAGACCAACATTCTAACCTTGTTGGAGAAAAGAGCCTTAGAGGTAGTACAGATCCCAGCGCTAATGCCTGGGTTCTGTTCTCCCATTTTTCTTGTTCCCAAGCAGGATTCAAACAAGATGCAGATGATACACAACCTTGCACTATTCAATGAACGCTAACTAGAGCGGCCTACTTTCTTTCGTCTCATTACCTTGAGACTGCTCAGGGCCAGCATCAATGCATATGATTCCCTGATCAGCCTTGATCTGCATGACGCTTGCCTGCATGTACCTATCCTACCATGCGACCAGCGGTTCCTCAGGTTACAGTCAATGGTATCCACTACCAGTGGGCGGTCCTACCATTTGGCATTTCAGAGGCCCCTCGCTTTTCATCCCCCTTAACCAAGACAATAGCCGCCTATGTGCACCTGAGGAACATTCGGTTCAAGTCGTACATAGACGACTGAATACTGAATCATCCAGTAACAGCCCTCTTAACTCGTCACTGAGACTTTACTAGATGCCTGCTTTATCAACTGGGTTGGATAGTCAACGAGGCGAGGTCGGAACAAATCCCATCCTACCAACTCCAATTCATAGGAGGATTCTTTCAGACAGATCTACCTCTCATCAGTGCCAAGGGACAGATGGATAAAAATCCTGCATCATCTGTTCCCTGCCCTGCAGCAGCCCATCACACTTCAATAATGGCAAGTGTTTCTGGGACTCCTTACATCAGCGCAGGACTTGACGATCAGGGGTCGGTTGTAATTACGACCAATCCAACAGTTCCTAGCTCCACAGATCAGACGACAGGACCCGTCTGTATCCATTGCCCTACCAGCCCATCTCAGGACTCACCTCAATTGGTGGACTGTAGACTTGAATGTCTTAGGCGGTGTCTCCCTAACAGAGCTATCCCCAAAGTCACACCTTTACGTAGAAGCATCTCTTCTGGGTTGGGGTGCACATCTACAGGACCAGACAGCGCCAGCGCTGTGGTTTGGTGCATAGTGCACATGGCACATCAACAACTCACACTCTGTGCTCAAACAGACGTTCAGGTTTTTCAACCCGATGGATCGACTAGGTTTGCGCTTCCTGGTCCATCACATACCCGTTGTCGGAATGTGCTTGCAGAGGCCAGACAGAGTGGAACCCATATGGTTTCATATGGTTCCATCTCATATGTCAGAGCCTAGGTCAATCCAACATCGACCTATTAGCCCCGTGCCCAAATTGTCAGATCCAAACGTAAGTTTCTCAGATTTCAGATCCACAGGCTATTCCACCCCCAGTTCTTCTTCCCTAGTTGATACAATAGATAAGGGCAACCAGGAGCCTTGCTTTGATTTTGATCGCACCTTGGTGGCCGGCGAGAGGTTGGTTCATGGACCTAAGAAACATTGCAGGAAGTGAACCACTACCTCTACTGGGGTGGCCTCTACGCCAGGCAGGTTTATCAACAAAGAGCCCTAGGCAAGAAAGGCTACTCAGCACGAGTGGCCAAGGCCATTGCTATGGCACATAGACCCTCGAGTCACGGCCTATATGATGATAATTGGTCATCATTTGAGACATTGTGAAGAAAAGGCTCAAGATCCCACTAAAGCCCCGCCTCAAATCCTGGTATCTCCTATATTTGCGTACCAAACGACACTTCAAGTGTACCACCATATATTCGTATTTGGTAGCTTTAAATTCAGTGTTAGCAATACTGTAGGATCTTAAAATGACAAAGATTCCAAAACTGCAAGCTTTTTTTCATGCTCTTTAAGGCTTGAAGATCAGGAGGCCAAATTTCATCCCCCGGTTTGCGCAGAACTCTGTTCGAGCCTCTCCACGCAACATCATTTTTCAACCTCACAAAGAAGACACTGTTTCTCTTGGCCTTAGCCACGGCAGCAAATGTTCATGCTCTCGAAATCACTTGTGTACGCTTTGAGCGGGGTACGAGGTTTCCACCTCGGGTTATACTGGGATTTTATAGCTAAAAACCGGTTGCCAGGACAACCCAATCGGTCCTTCAGACAGACAGACAGACATGTTTATTCAGTAAAAGGCCAATGGCCCAAAATACAGACATGTGAGCATGACATTTACAGGGCACAGAATTTATCATTAATTATTTTGTGAGCATAATATAAGAATTTACAAACTAGAAATAATGTTTGCTCATTATAATTACTAAGAATATTTATTACATGAGAATTACTGTAATGAGTAGGCATAGGAAGATTAACAAGGTATTTTTGTCTTAGGGCAGAATATAAATTACAATTTAAGAGTACATGGAATTCATCCTCAATGACATTAACTCCCTTACTACTACAATAGTTACAGAATCTGAGTGAACGGTCTGTTTTACTATATCTGCCAGTTTCTAAAGCTATTTTAAAATTTGAACATCTGAATTTAGTAAAAACAATTCTTAAATGGGTAGGGAGTGGACATGACAAGTACCTTTCAACATGTAACATGGATTTAAAATGCTTATAAAGATCACATTTTGGAGAAGAGTTTACAGAAGCACTCCAGAATTGCTGTAAATTATCTTTGAGCCTTTGCTTAAAATGGAGAATAAAAGCTTTAGAGTCACCCACCTCTTGATTGAGCCATACAAAACCAAACCCAAATTGGAATAAAATATTTCTAACTTTAGTCGCCCAAGTTACCCGCCCAACATCATCTAATGATTTAAGCATTAAATAGCATTGGGAAGGTAATCTGTGGGGTTGAAGATGTAAGAGCCTGCACCAATATTTAATTACTTTAGTCATGTAAGTGAGTTGTAAAGGAAACCTCCCACATTCCCCTAAAACCATATTTGAGCAGGTTGATTTGTTTACTTTTAAATAATGCTTACAAGAGGCGATTTGGACAGATTCGATTTTTTTACAATAGCAAGTACCCCAAATTTCAGAGCCATAGGTTAAGATGGGGGTGACCATAGAGTCAAAAACCTTAAACAGATCTGTACAAGTGATATTACCAATTTTCCTTTGAAAAGAGTTAATAGCTAAAATTGCTTTGGTGGCTTGGGATGCTAGAGTAGTTTGTGCCTTACTCCATACAAGCTTAGGTGTAAACATTAAGCCAAGATATCTATAGCTTGAAACAGTTTCAATAGGTTCACCATGATAAAACCACTTTTCATAATTGCGAAGATGGCCACCTTGCCTAAATACAATTACTTTTGGTTTTTTTTAAGTTAATTTGCATGCCTGTTTTATTACAAAATATTTCCAAAGCATTAATTTTCTTTTGAAGCTGGACACAACTATCTGAGACAGCAGAAACATCATCAGCAAAAAGAAGAGCACATAAATTATCTATATCAGGAGAAATATGAATACCTTTACCACCTAATTCCTCAAATACTGTGGACATATTATTAATAAAAATTAAGAACATTTGTGGGCTTAAGACTCAACCTTGGCGAGTACCTACATTACATGGAAACACTTGAGATAAACCTTTGGCTGATCTTACACAGGCTGATAAACCACTGTACATGGAAACTAGGACATTATAAATGGGACCCGATATACCTACTTTCTTTATTGAATCTAATAGAACATCATGTTTTACAGTGTCGAAAGCTTTCGAAAAATCAATAAAGAGGCAGTAAAATCTTCCCTTCTTTTTGCCAGAATATTTTGTTGTAATAGCTTGTAATGTAAACATATGGTCAATAGTAGAATAGTCAGTTCTAAAACCAGCCTGAGCTTCACTGAGGATGTTATTGGTGTCACACCATAGCTGTAATCTGCTGTTTAGGATAGATGTAAAAACCTTGCATAAAGTATCTATAACAGATATTCCTCTGTAGTTGTCTGTATTTGATTTATCACCAGATTTATGTAATGGACAGATTATACTCTTACCCCATGAAGATGGGAAGGAACCAGTAGAGAATATTTGATTAAAAATCTTGGTGAGAATAGGTGCAAGAAGGTTACTGTAGGATTTAATAAATTCATTTGGTATGCCATCTGGACCTGGGGATTTGTTGTTAGGTAGATTTTTTATGTGGGATAATACTTCTTGTTCAGAGATGGGATGGTTTAAACTATCGGAGGCAGAGGGGGCAGAATCATCATGGAGTGGATACTGGGTGCTATTGTCAGTGGATAAAAGTGATCTAAAATGGTCAAACCATTGCTGGCATGAAATATTTTCAGAAATTGTGTTACCAAATTTGTTTTCTTTAATGATTTTCCAGAAAAGACTTGGGTCAGATCTAGCTGCGACTAATTTGTCCCTCTGAGTTTGTAGATACTGCTGTGTTTTGGAGTTGAAAATTTGCTTAAACAATCGTCTAAAATATCTAAAGCGGTCTAGATCAGCATTGTGGTCTCTATAGGCTCTGAGAGCAGCATACTTATCATGTTTCAAGTTTTCAAGATCTTGGTCCCACCATGGTGGCTGACATAATTTTAATGGTTTGCGGAATTGTGTATAAAGCTTTTTGGTATGGTCAGCAGCACATTGAATAATATTAACTATATGAACTAGGGCACTCTCTACATTTGTATCAAGCATATCACATAGTGCAGATTTAATATCATAAAAGCCAGCTTTAAAATTATCAAAGAAAGTGTTACCAGAGTCTCTACTCCAGACATACTTATACCATTTACATGGCTCAGTACTGACATCTTGCGGAAGATCATTTTGTGGCAATTTACAATCAGGTTCATATGAACAGTTAAAATCGGTCTTTCACCATCCCACTATTATCATCCATCATGGGAGTGGAAGACTAGGATGAATTATTATTGTGCCCGGTGCGTGCTCTACAAGCTTTCATCTGCTGCTCCAAGACTAGGCCTGGTACGAAGATACGATTGCTTATCCCGGTTTCTGAGACGTCCACGACCGAACTCAGCCACAATACAATTTCCTTATAGTTGCGAGCTATCAACCTTCAGGCTTACAAGATTGCTAAGCTTGTGCCACAGAGAGGTAATAACCCCCATGAGATTTGGGCGGTTGCCTCAACGATGGCTCTACACAGTATTTGTTCTACTGGAGCCATCATGGAAGGATGTTTTTTGGACTCGAACTCGGTTGTCGTGAGCCACTACCTGAGGGATGTGGCTTTAAAAGGCATCGAGGGTATTCACAGTTTTGGACAGCTGGTTGTAGCACAGCAGGTAACCAACCCGCAATGCCATAAAACTTTTGAATCATGTCCAGAGCCAGCCTTACCCTACTCGCATAGTTTCATTACTCGCTTGTTTGGGGTTTGTATTTTACTGTGTGCTCGCTATCTTGGCTTGGTACTGTGCATGCTATTATCTCTTACTGTTTGTTTACCATACTCTTGTAACCTTTCCATGGACAGGACTGGCTGATCAGTTTCCAATCTGAGCAAAAGAATAGCACTGTACAGCTGACACGACCTTCAGTCGTGAGAGTTTATATCAAGTACACATCTGAAGGTATTCCCGCCACCTTACCGTCGGATACAGATGCATTAAAGAGTAATGCAGGATAAGTTAAAAAAATCTAGTAATATAGAGATATTTTTTATATTTGTATACTTATCCTGCATTACTACGTCTAGGGGCCCACCCGTCACAGACCTGCCTTCCCACTATATCTTCAGACATTTTCTAGTGACCAACAGTAACATAGAGACATCTTTCATCTACCACTTCCGGTATGACATGGCAGCTAGTGAATGTGGGGGGTCCTGCTTCTGAACTGAACAGCACTTTTTCTTTCTTCAGCTGGATCAATCACTTCATTACTGTCAAAAGGAAAGCAGTGAGTGCATTAAGGAGTAATGCAGGACAAGTACCGGTATACAAATAGAAAAGATATCTAGATTTTACTGGTATTAAACATGAACTCTTTTTTTTACAGCATTCAACGGATTGAAGCTGAGACAATTGACATGGATGATGAAGCAGAGAAAGCCAGGAAAATGATTCAAGAAATAGCTTTCCAGAAGTGTGGTCTCCTCAGACAATTATGCATCAATACCAGGGTACGGAGAACAGTCATTCTAAGCTTGTGCCGTGGAAGTAGTCTCAAAGCTTTCATCTATTAACTTTTCCTATGTTCATTTTCTGTTCATAGACCTCCTGATAGATTGAGCCAAGTTTGCAGGTTTGCCAGACCAAAAGAATATTAATATACTGTGCGAGAAAAAGTTCATCAGAAGTCTATTTTTTTAACATACAGACAATGTATATTGGTTATGATTCTTGGATGATGATGTTTATTCATGTGTAGCTGATGATGGGAGGGAAGCAGGAAAGAAGAGTCCTCCCTTCATAAAGAGTTCATGAGAATAATTAATTTAATTTAAGCCAAAAGGAAAAAGGCTATAATTTACATGGTAGCACATGGTTGTGCTCAATAAATGTAACACAAATGTGTAAACTGGCAAATATTTAGATATAACAAATTAAATAACCCAGGTAGTAAATTTGGACTCATCTCGATACGCAACCATAAAAAAAACCAGACAACAGTACTCCAGTACTCAAGCATTTATTAAGTTTCAAGCCTCCAAGCGTGTCATGGCCTTTCATGATTTTGGAACAGTCAAAATTATTTTATAATAGCAAGACTACTGAAGTTGTTAAGTATGGATTCAGTCATTATCCAACGTAACTATTGTTCGGAATACCCTGTGTTAAAGTTTTCAAGGTTACATGATTAGAAATCACATTCCGACTGTCACTTTCATGATCTGGTAAGCGGCGCTCTGATTGGTCGGATGAAAGGTCGTTCTGACGTGACCCCTAATTGGATGTCCTTGACCCCATTTTTAAGGTCACAGCAGGCAAATCTGCTTTTGGAGTTGGAACACGGTGTTGCCGCAATATCTCAAGAACTAATCGCTGGATTGTCTTCATATTTGGTACTATGGTGTATATACAGGCGGGGGACATTTCGTCACTTTGTGACAAATACTTGTTTTCTATTTATTTTCATTAATAAGTAGAGATTGTCTTCTTTATTGTCAAATTATTGGCATATCACTTTTAATGATGTCTTTGTCATGAAATGTTATCCCTTTGAAAAATCGATCCCGTAAGCTTGGCATCACAATTCAGTGCAGATTCATGCAGTCACCTAGCAGCAACTACATTTGTTTGATGACACCTTGCTCGGTGAACTAAGCCTGAAACTTTGGAAGATTGTCTTGGATCAAAATTTCTTTGAAAAATGGAAAAAGAATCTTGAAAGCTTTAAAATTTTGTTATTTGGCATCAAGGGCATAACAGAATCGACAAGTCCAGACTAATACAAGCAGTCATACACATACATGCATCAGTGATAGAAACTAACATATTTAGTACACTAAACCTTAAAATGATAACATAAAGCAATACCCTTAAAATGGCACATTTCTACTTGATCATATTTTAATTATCAGACAGTTTGGCAAGGACTATAGGACAAGTGCCAATTTCTATTGCTGGTACATGCATGTTGCTTTACAATAGCCATAATCTAGAATGATACTGTTGACCGAACTTTATGGTGTCTGTATGTGTCTGTCTATCTGTCTGTCTGTCTGTCACCACTTGTCTGAGGTTTCTTGATTGCCAGTCATCGATGTCACATTGATTGATGAAACTTTTTGACAGAAATGCTTTGAACTGAGTCAAGAAAAGGTACGACTGAGTCTGCAGCATTCTGGGGCAATTTACGAGTATACAAGTTTTGAAGCAGAGCTGAGAGACCAGAGCCAGTCATTACAGGGAATTGAGGTCAGTTTAACTTTAACAGAAGTACCAAGCTTTGCAGTGCTTCAATATTAGTGGTTTCAGTCATGAAATAAAGTAGCACCATTGAAATGACTGCTTTATTTTTGAAGCCACATAGATCTTTGACATCTCAAGGTCAAGGCCACTGGACCAGTCTTCTTAGTCTACTGAAACAACTCTATGTGTTTGTGTCACATGTTAATCTAAACATGTGGCTCACATTTTTCAAACATAATATGGATTATGTAGTCCTGCTCAGAAGCCAATATCTGGGCCCAAACTTCCCATTTCATGTTAAAAATGTAAAATAGTTAAAACCAAAGACAAATATGCATGTATGTCTTTGTTATAGTGATGTGATAGCTAGGTCAAGGTGACTTATAGTTAACTGATAACAAGACTAATATAGAGGAAGAATCTTTCTGATTTACATTATTGCATTGAATGAACAATTAAAAATACCTCTGAAGTTTTTCTTAGTTATCGTGCCAATTAAGGGCACTTAGTTTGGAATCCTAGATAAATCTTTATAATGATGGATTTAACCCAATTTATTTAGACAAATGGTAATTTTGTCTTGAAGAAGGTCAAAGGTCAAATGACCTAATTCAGGCTGCCCCAGAGTCTGTGGACATAAAACGTTGAGACATGATTTGATTCACCAACATTAAGCTCACTTTGATTCATGTGATTTGGATTCACCCAATTACATATATCTCACTTTCTTACATAATGTTTGATTTAACCTCATGATTGTATCTGTATACATTTTATTTCCATATTGAATGTTTTCTTTACATGGATTAGAGACATCTGCAGGAGCTGAAGGAAGGATTGAAGCGAACACGAGCAATAGCGAAGACATTGTTAGACAGAGCCAAAGTTGCAACAGGCACAGGTCCAAATGAAGAGTTGTCTCCTGATTTAAAGAAGGTAGAGATCAATATATAGTTCCTAAGGACAATACTACTTGCCACTGATTTGTTAATCCAGATATTTTTCCATTACCATTGTATTCATCTATACACATGTGTACACACATTTCACATCCTTTGTCAGTGACAATAAAATAATCCTTACAAGGCTGACATTAAAACATATGCACACAAATCAAATCAAATTTTAGATATTACCAACAGGACAACAGTATATCTAAGTGTATGTTATGGATGGCACCTTATGTATGTATGTATATATGGATGGATGGATTGATGCATGCATGATTTTATTAGGTCTAGAGTTAACTGTATAACATACTTTGTTTTTGAACCATGCAGTGCTTGGTCATCTTTCGATATCATATCAGGTATAGTCTGGAAGTTAATTTAAGGTACCGACGTTTACGACAATATCTGAAAAACTATTGGACCTACTCCAGTCAAAGTTGGTATGAGATTATTAAACAGTCATTCATAACTGGATATTACATTTAAAGACAATCGGTGCATGAATAAAAAATCTGTCTATTTAGCTATCACTATATTTCATCAACAGCCAGACCTGTTCGTTCCCGGGTGGACCGAGCATTCATTGTAACAGCCATCTGCATAATGCTACCCCTGCGTCACAGGGCCATATGACAAAGTTGAACCGATCAACTCAACTCGAAAGGTTGCCAGGAATACGGTGTTAGCATTACATTTCATGATGTCTCAGCGCAAGCATATCTTTCCGCTGATGCGAAAGGTTTTGTTGTTAAAGTATTTGAAGTATCATGAAAAGAACAATTCATGCGTTACAGCTTCCCAAACAAACGGTAGTTAAGATTTTGAACTCTCATAAGAACACATGCTCCCCTGCACATCCCTTAGGGGGCATCTCAAAACAAGATAGGAAATTAAAGTTGGATTCCTTTGATAAGAAAGTTGTCAGGGACGTGATTCGGCCGTTAACACGAGAAAATGAATTTATTTCAACACGAAAACTAAAACAAATTCTCCTTACAGAGCATGACTTAGATATTTCCAAATGGACCATTTGTAAACTCCTTTCCAAATTTGGATATCAGTACAAAAAGACGAAAGGGTCGAAACTAGCAATGTGTGAACGACCAGATATCATTCGTTTGCGTATCAATTATTTGCGCACTATTAAAAAGAAATGAGAAGAAGGCTATGAGCCTGTCTATTTGGATGAAACCTGGGTTAACACAGGCCACACAGCGGCTTACCAATGGTCTCACCCAGATACCATAGAGCCACAGCGCAAGATCCCCCCTGGTCTGATTGTCCTCCATGCAGGCTCCCACAGAGGTTTCCTCCCTGGATGTGATCTAGTGTTCAGATCCAGATCTACAGATGGCAGAGACTACCATACCGAGATGAATAGTCAGGTTTTCACTGCGTATGTTGAGGAGCAGCTCCTCTTAGCACTGCCTGATAAATCCTTGGTGGTTATGGACAGTGCTCCCTATCACAGTTGTCGAGATCCTATTAACCGTTGTCCAACCTCAAATTCCACCAAAGGTGAGATATGTCAGTGGTTCGACAACAACCGCATTGCTCAGCCCACGAAAGCCAAAAAAAACTGACTACTACTAACTGGGGAGCACCTTTAGAATACAGTACCACAACTTCTCGTGAGGACGATCTCTGCCGTAGGTCACATGTCACAAGACAAGCAGGGGCGGTCGGGTAGCCTAGTGGTTAAAGCGTTCGCTCGTCACGCCGAAGACCCGGGTTCGATTCCCGACATGGGTACAATGTGTGAAGCCCATTTCTGGTGACCCCCGCCGTGATATTGCTGGAATACTGCTAAAAGCGGCGTAAAACCATACTCACTCACTCACAAGACAAGCAACCAGTTTTAGTGAGAATCCGTCGGACGCGAACCCGCGACCTTCGGATTGTTAGCCTGACAGCTAACCGACTGAGCTACGTCCACACTGTTAAACTTAGTGCAAATTTACCTAGTCATGCCTATGACGTTACGGAACTGAACGAAAAGGGTCCAATAGGTGACGGACACTTACGAAGGTTATGGGTAGGCATGGTGTCTCGTGTCTTTAGCCTACTGACACTTACGAATGATCCCGATGGCATTTGACACACTCGTCCCATTCCGTAATCTACAAGATACCGGGTGGTGAGGAATGAGCCGATATGCCGCGAACTGAAAACGGCTCCAGGCGTCAGACGTTGACCTTGCGAGTGCGCATGAATGATATGGTATTTAATAATTCGTCGGGTGATTTTTGTGACAGAAAAGTGTGGTAGTGAACACTGTAAGGATGATGTGGATAATAGTAAGGAACGATGGAGGAATAAGCATGACTAATGACGACACAACGGTGAGTTCGCTTTTGAATCAGTAATGAAAAATGTAGCCGGTGAAAGTGGCTTGTGTGAATGTTCCAGGACAGTTTCCAGTAGCCAAAATATTTGACACAAAACCATTTCATCCTTTTTACTCAACGTTTTTGTGGGAAGAATATAAGGAGCCGCTATATAATCTACAATAGCCACTAAACGAGTACCTAGCCCCTAACCCTAATGATTGTAAAGGGGTGATTGAACGTAAAGGGGATCCAAGGGTTAAGGATAGACTTAGGGTAATCTAATAGCCACTAAACGGGTTCCTAACCCTAATGATCGTAAAGGGGTGATTTATCGTAAAGGGGATCCAAGGGTTAAGGATAGAGTTCGGGGTAACCTACCCTAACACTGGCGACATTTGGATGTGTTCAGCACCACTAAATATCCCTAACAAACTACATTCTTGTGCATAATAATGAAAATTAATGCACCGAAAAAATAATATATGTATATTAGTTCCCATTTATAATCCTTTTAGCCACTTGAATTACGAGAAAAACGAAATAAAAAATATATAAAAAATAAAAGTGATTTCGTAAACTAGCGCTTGCTATAAAATGCGCGCCGCAGGCTATTTTCAGTAAACAAATATTCAAAACTCTCCACAGCGCTTGGCGTATTCAATGACATTTCGTGTAGAGATAATAGATCACTGAGAGGAGCTTATGCACACTCGATGACCCCTGACGTCACAGGGCATTGTTTCGCCGGTGTGACTGGCAACAAAATACTACAAATTACTTCATAGGGTATGATCACGTGTTTGAAATGTTTGTGGTACTGTATTCTAAAGGTAGGCCCTAACTGGTTCCTTAGAACAAACCCCCACCCTCTTATTTGATTGACAACCTGTTGAGAGAACACGGTCACGAAGTGCTTAGACTTCCTCCTTACCATTGTGACTTGAATCCCATCGAACTAATCTGGGGTGATTTGAAAAATACGGTCGAATGGCAAAATAAGACCTTCAAGCTTGCCGATGTCAAGCAGATTGTCTTGAAAGGGAGGGAGAAATTACAGATGTACTTTGGGCAAACTGTGTCCAACAATTAATCAAAGTTGAGGAAGAGTATTGGAAACAAGACTGTATCCGACCAGATACTGTCCAGCCTGTTGTTGTTCATTTAGGTGACAGCACAGACTCTGAATCTGACGACGAGGGCATTTCGTGGGACCAAGAATATTGCAATACTTATACCCCTGTTTCACTATGACATGTAATAGCCCGAATTACCACGGATATGAATTCTTACCTATTCGTACATATTCTTAATCATTTCTTAAGAATCTTAAATATATCTTATTTGATTCCCAAACATTCTTGTAGTTAGTGGTATTCCTGAGAAAAAATTTGTTTATCAAAGAATTTCTAGGAATCCTCTACGAATTTCAGGTTTGCGCTTTGTAGTACATGTCGTAATCGGATCTTGTCCACTTTGTGCAAGTCTTGGCTCAGAATTTGATTCTCTTTCAGCCGAAACAGCCCCGAAAGTCTCGAATCATCTACTAAAATATTAAAATATTTTCTTCGAAATCATTAAGCAATGATTTGTCCAAATGAATAATTACGTATGATATATAACACCTAATAACATGATGCATGAAATATAATAATGTGGCAAGGAATGATACATTCAAGTCAATAACACTGACCTGAAAAAGAATGCAAAAATAATTGGATAAATATTATTAAATAACTGCTTGAGACGCCAAACGCTAACACCGTATTCGTGCGTGCGTGATTCCCGTGCACCTTTCAAGTTGAGTTGATTGGTTCAACTGTGTCATATGGCCCTGTGACGCAGGGGTAGCATTATGCAGATGGCTGTTACAATGAATGCTCGGTCTGTGCGATGGCTCTAGGTCGAAGAAGAAAAGTTGTTCTTAACAAGTCTACTGTCTGAAGACCAACCTTGCACAGCTGCCACATGATCAACGGTAGTGACGTCACATATCTCCGCATTCCTGCTTCACCAGAGAGACATGTTGTGTTTTCCTTTGGTCTTCAAATTTTGGCTCTTCATTCAGTGTTGGCCATTCCGGAGGATCGTAAGATGACCAAGGTTCCAGAACTACAGGGCCTCTTACGCTCATTCAGTCTGAGGATCAGAAGTCCAAATTTCGTGACCCAGCTTGGGATTTGAATGTGCTTAGGGTTTGCGCAGGCCTCTGATTGAGCATCACTACGCACAATCCTTTTTCAATCTCACCAAGAATTTTTTTCTCTTGGCTCTAGCCGAAGCGGCAAGGGTAAGTGAGTCACATGCGCTGGATATTACCTGTGTCTGCTTTAATTGTGGTACGCAGGGAGCGGTTCGGGCTGTGTTGGGATTTTACAGGTGAGAATTAGCTACCAGGAGAATCCGACCAGTCCTTCAACATTCAACAATCTCTATGATTGTGAGGATTGAAGATGAGGAAGAACTCTTATTGTGCCCTGTGTGTTCACTACAAGTTTTTATCTGCCGCTCCAAGACTAAGTGTGGTATGCAGAAACTGTTGTCTTTCCTGTATCCCCAATGTCCATGATCGAAGTCAATGGCAACGCCATATGGCTATGTGCAGTCATCCTTCAGGCATACCAGATCGCTAACCTTGATCCTTCGAGAGAGAACAATC